GTGACAGAGGACTCACAGACCATGTCGAAGAGGGTGGCCTCATCCTCGTACTCCTCCACGGGCTCGCCCAGCTCCGATGGCTCACTGCAGTAGGAGAAGTCACAGGAGTCACGGGTGCGGGTGCAGTCCAGCTTGGCCTTCCCCGGCCGGCCCGGGTAGCGCTCCAGGGGGCTGGCCTGTGCCTCCGAGGGCACCCCCAGCATGCTGGGGCTGTCCGAGTTGAAGCTGCGGCTGTCCTGGAAGCAGACGCGCTCCTGGGAGCCGGCCCGGCAAGTGGCGGCCAGGGGCCAGTGGTAGGCATGGCCAGCGCTACAGCCCCACATGGCTGTCAGGTTGCCGTGGGCCCCCTCAGAGAGCAGGTGCTTGAGGTTGGGGATGAGGCTGCAGATGGTCCCATGGCTGTGGGCCCAGCTTACCAGCTTGGAGAGGTTTTCGGAGGAGGTGTGAAGGCAGTCCTCCATGGTACAGGATCAACAGCGCCTCGCCGCTGGGAAGTCAGCTGAAGACGTGTTTCAGATCACAGGGTCCTGACACTCACGGTCATGTGTTGCCAAGTTCATGCTTGCTGCTCACCTGCAAACAGAGAGCAAAACCCTTCTCTTCAGCACTCCCAAAGCAAGACCACATTTGCATGGGCAAGTGAAACATTTGTAAGCTCAGCTAAACCCATTTCACTGTCATTGTATGTGCTGTGAAGCACGTTTCTCAAAACAGTGCCTGCTTTTAAGCAGCCTCATTCCTCATTCTGCCTGCAAAAAATCTGCCTTTAAGACCAAGGCAAGAAATATCCCTGCAATACACAACTAAAATAAGATAAAACAGCTTTTTAAACAAGCCAGTTCAGTATCAGTGGCAATATGATTTGAAGCTTAAATCTCTGACAAAATGCAAATGTAGCCCAAAAGATGGTGATTGTCTTCATACTTAGGAAATGAAAATTAAATAATATCTTAAAACATACAATTTATCTTGAACATCAGGGCGGCAATCAAGCACCAACTCAGACACTCCTGCTGCACCTGAAACTTTATGACATTTTACATCATTTATGCACATTTCTCAAATGCATCAAATATCTTCTTTTCAACTGAATTTGAGAGGCATCAAAATGAAGGCCAGAAACTTTAGTTTTCAATATAAGGAAAAAACAAACAAGTTCACCTTTCCCTGTGCTATATTGACAGTGATCAGTTGTCCAAAGGCTTACGAGAAGCTCAAGGGACCTGCGAGGTTTAAGTCGTAACCTTCCTTAAGATCTGAGAGTTAACCTTTTGCTTTTTTACCATATTGCCTATCTTCCCAGATCTAAATCATGATTCTGTTCAAGACAAACACTTGCATTTTCATCAGCTATTTAGAAATTTGCAGCACAAGGCACGGACCTCTGGGGCCAAGGCCATGAATCCTACAGTATTTCAGGTCAAACATAAAAATACAAAACCTGTCACATGTTCATCTTTTCCTACTTTCCAGGCAAGATCTCATTCCACACAAGACCACAAGCCCTCAACTTCTCAGAGCTTCAGCACTAGGACTTTCTAGGAGACCTTGCAGTTGTTTCTCTGATCCGCATTTCTTTATCACCATAAAAAAAACAGTGAAACATGATGCAGGAGATGCTTCATTCATTTAAGTGAATAGAAAAGAAGGAAAAAATAAAGTAAATTTAAAGATTAACCATTCTTTCAGTAAACAAAGAAGAGCAAGGAATTGTAACATAACTCAGCTAAAAATACTGAAATTGGTTACAGGTAAGTTCTTGGGCCGTAGCTTTCTTTTTCCTGAGTGGTTTACCAAGGTATCTGGTATCAATATTCAACAATCTGAGTAGTAAGCTTCTGATGGTATATAAGCATGGCTATAAGGTATGTCTGGAATTAATGGCGTGGGGCTTGGTCACTGCTTGACAAACATCAAGGCACTGCTGGGGCTGGGGGCCAGGCAGCTGGGACAGTCCCAGCCTCAGCCATTGGGCACTGGACTGACAGACCCAGGCTGAGCTGAAATGGGGCTCCTGGACCATAGGCAGGGGGTGGGTGGGGGTCCCAGGGCAGGCTGGGCAGAGCTACTAAGGCCCATGTGTGCCCTTAGGGCCCTGACAAAAAATTAAGGTTGCAGTGGGAATGCTCAGTTTGTATATGTCTGTGGGCCTCTCGTATCTGCTCTAAATCATCTGTCTAAATCATCAACTGTAGCAGGTTATTCACAGGAACATTTGCTGTTAATAATTATTTTTTAACTTTTATCTTGCTTGTAATGTTCTGTATTCCACACACTTCCAGATTTAAGCTGCAGTCAATGCCCATTTTCCTGTTATCCAGGCATTTTAATACTTAACTACTGCAATAACAATCTTCTTTTTTTTTACCACAACTAAATGAGATACAGTTAGTCAAATGTCTGTACAATCGTAGAGCAATGATCACACTGAGAAAGATGGCACAAACCAGTTTTCACACAGATCCCACTACTGGGATACTGGACCCCTCAGTAGTCTGTTTCTGAGGTGGGAAATTATTACCCCCTACTGTAAAGATCCTCAAGGACCGTGGCTGAAATGGATCAAAGTCAACTGTGAAGCTCTAGCTGACTTCAACAGGTCCAGGTAACTCAGACTCCAGAAGTCTGTTAGAAAGTCAGCACTTCACAGATGGACCCCGACACATAGCCCTCACCCAGGGTCCTCAGTATAACTAATACAGAACTGGACAGTCGCTCTTTCTTTACACTGTAGCCTTACTTTTAAAAATGAAGGTTATTTGAGTTGCTGGAGAAGATCAGTAATAAAGGAGCTCAAACAACTCAAAATTTCATGGTTGCTGGGCACAGGCTGGGCTGAGAATGTTTTAAGGTTACTGCTCAGCTAAATTAATAGAGATTAACTGTACGTTTATATTCCCCTAACGATATCCATGGTTCCTATCTCGCCAGCTGTTACCTGCTAGAGGTCACTTTTTCAAACAAGGGATAGCATCTCAATACAATTCAATTTGGTAAATATATATTTTAAATTATTAATCACCTAAGTGGAACTTTTTTCATTAAAGTAATCAGGGGATGCCAAAGAAACTGCAGCACTGTCAGATGATAGCAAAGTCTGAGCGTCTCTCTGATGACAGAGCATTCACCTCCGGTGACTTTCTCAGACAGCTAAAAGTAACTGGGAACTTCTGCTCATTTCTGCAGGCCTGTTTGGAGGGTCTCCCTAACCTTCTCCCTCCTGTGCTTTGTGAACATGACCTGCAAGGCTTGGAGCTCCTGTTGTTCTCATCTCACTTGTATTTTCATACAGGCAGAAAAGCCCTTTACATTTTTCTGAACTGAAATGCAGCATTCACACCAATGTTACACCTCATTTTGTTCCCTGTCCTCTTCTACAAAAGCACTTTTAGATGCAAAATGAACTGTGCCATGGCTCAAAAGACAGCTACATGGTGGCTAATGGTCCCTGGAGAATGCTTTCCCTAACATCAACACAAATTACTACCTGCCTACTCACTTGGTCTTCAAAGTCACCTGCCAGCTAGCTGCATATAACCATGTTTGCTCTCACCTCACCAGGAGGTGAGGAGGCTGTGTTTCAATGGTTTTGCAGCCTGCATATCCCTGCCCACCCACGCTCGTTCACCAGGCAAAGGGTGGCCTGTGCAAACCAGAACTGGGAACAGAATGGACAAGTACTGCCTACGATTCCCTCCATGAGGCTCGCCATGGGTCTTTCCTCCCCACCCAGGCGCTGTGCCTCACTGGTGGCATCAAGAATGGAGCCAGCACGGGAATTTCTAGATCTTTTGCAAACTTCTAGGTATTTTTCCAATGTCTTTGAAATTAAGCATGACATGGAGGGAAGTCCTGGATAATGGATGAACAGGAAGAAGCACATCATTAGGAAACAGAGTAAAAATGGTGTAAGATTCAAGCTTGGTTTTGCAGTAGCTCAAGCCAGGGTGCATGCACAGAGAACAACTGCTACAATAAATTCCAGCTTCTGTTATTTCCCACATGAAACCCCAGCAATGGTACAGATCTCACAGCATCACCTGCAACACAAAGCTCCTTGCATGACCAGTGCCTCTGTGCAGTATAATAAATGCAGTAGGTCCCCACCTTGCAAGCCTTTTAGGCACTGGAGAAGGCTCCCCTTTTCAAACATACAGCTTTTAAACATCTAAAAGTTGTTTGTTATATTTGGTTGTTTGTTTTAAACCTCTTAAAGATACACTGTCAATCTTGACAGGGGTCAAAACCCCCAGGGCATCCACATTTCTGCTGACTGGTGTATTCGAAGACATGGACATACAATGCACCCCGCCACAGAAGAAACACCAAAAGATGTGAGGAGTAACACCATACTCACACAAGGCAAAGAGGCATCTGGAAAACGAACAAGGGAAAGGAGGGAGAGCTACAGTCAGGGCTATAGTCAGAAGCTACGTCAGTGCAAACCGATGGGAAAGCATGGAGCTGCTCAGTTGCTGCACAACCAGGGATGTATCTTTGGAAGACAGAAAGCCCAGTTTGGCTGAAGAACCATTTTCCGCACAGGGAAATGAGATCAGGTCAACTGCCATGGTCTGGATTGTTTGTGCAGGGCTGAAAATCCAAAGACATCAGTTATTCAGAAGCCATGTGTCTTTGGTTCGCCAACTGCAGCAGAAGCTGACAATGGCACTTTGGCAGGGAGGGACTCACCCTGTAGAAAGCACAGCAAATCCATCACTATCTGCCTGGTTTCCTGAGGAGGGACCTTGTCTGCTCAGTCAGACAGCATGCTGCTGGCTGACAGTCTACTCTTGTTTGCTAAATCACAGTTTAAAGATTATATAAGTCATTCATTCAGACTGGAAAGATTCAATAGATGACTCATGCTTAAGAACCTGCTAACATGTATACTCTGAAATCATACAGTAGCTGGCAAAAACATGCTATAGATTCAGTGTGAATAACACTGGTATTTTAACTGCATTACAGATGGTGAAGGCTTAACCTTCCACAGCACTTTTCTGCAGTTCAGAGCCTAGCAATATCTAACGCAGGGTGAAGCATGTCTAGGTGCTGGAAATTCACTGCAGCTATCAGGACCCTAAATTAAGAATTCGATATTATGACTTGTTTAGCTTTTACGACCTCATTTATAACATATTGCTGTAGTGACTAATGTGTACAGAATACATGCTATGCCAGAAAGTGTTATTGTTGCAAAACCATTCCTTGAAATCCATTAATGCATTAACTGGAACATCACTTAATTTGGGAAAGGGAATATTTTCTGTATCCAGAACCAGAGGTTTGCCATAGGAAACCTACTTGGTGACCAAAAGGTAATGAAAAATAGCAACCTCTAAAGAATATCCCATGTTCTAGGACAGGACTTGGCCTAGCTAGTTTCATGCAGACAAAATTCTTCCTGATTTTACGTACAGCAGTAGGAACAGGTCCTTTGTTATGACCCAGAGAAGAA